AGTTGAAACTATTATTCAAAGCATCTAAAGAAGAAAAAAAATCCACCACCACCAACTAAAAAATCCCTTTGAACATTGCTGTTTATAATTACATAGGAATTGAAGGCTTTCTTCTCCTTCATAGCTAGAAAGTGCTTTCCTAGATGAAGTTTTTAGAGGCTCAGATGTAATCAGCTAAGGAACTCTTCAAACAAGCTTGCTATGTTTTGATTTGGTGCAAATAAGAAGCAAAGTAATAGAAATAGCTATTCCAAGAATAGCTAGGGCTTTGAAATGCTGATTTTAAGTGCTGCATGCTGCCATTTGGCTGTCCCATCATAATAATATGGAACGAAAGACAATTTCCCTCACTATAAGCACTCAGAAAAATACTTACAAACAAATGGAAATAAAAAAATCCGTCTATGTTTTTTCTATTTTTTTCCTTATATATTTTTTCCTGTATTTCTTCTTTATATCAAAATGACAATAGCAATATTTCTTATGTCAGCTACAAAGGATCCAGTTAACAATTTCCTACCACTAATAGTTACTGGATTTCCATTACCATTTGAAAAGTCTGCTCATGTAGGGCGGTGCTATAAATTCACTGTAAACACTCATTCTCCTGCACTGTGAACTGATGATGAGAGGAGGTCTGAGATGATGCCTGTGCTACAATCAGAGGCGCAAGCAGAGCGTGTACAAGTGTACTAGTGTCAACGTGGATCTACATATCTGGGGATGAAGGCTGGAGAGCAGTAGCAGCAGGGGAGCCAGCATGGGGAGCTGCTTGAATCTTGGGTAAGCTGCTACCTGAAGCCTTTGGCATTGTTATAATTACATGTCTCTGACAATAGAACTGGTTCAGGTTTATATACATGCTCATCTGTATCTACATACATGCTTCTGCCACACACCTAGCACCTGCCTTTTTAACTTATGTCTCATCACCTCGACACTGCCTTTCCCTCTTTGGCCCAATGTACAGAGGTTTCATTTGATTGGATCTTGTAGCTGGAATCAGTCATTCTCATCTTACCAGCTATAGAGAGATGGGCACTGTCATACCCTTCCTTGTCCTTAAACATTCCTACTCTGAAGAGGCTGTAGCAGCTTGTATTAGGATGTGCACTCCCACCTGCTAAATGGTACTCATAGTGTATGTATTTTGTCTGTGCTAGATGGAATGACCCATATGCATAGCCCTTTAATTATTCTTGCTTTTCCCTGTGGTCTTGTATCAAGCAAGAGTAAGCAGCCAGTCTGCATGTGGGCCACATGTTGGACGTACATGATTTAAGTTATTTTTTGAAATCACAAATATTTTTAGGACCGCTATTGTTCCCTTAGATATGAGTAATGGTTTATCTGGTAACATGGATTCTAATAAATGAATAAATTGACTTTTTTTTTTTTTTTTTTTTAGAAATGTATTAATGAATCACATCATCTACTGTTTGGTTATTTCTTCTGCCCTGCAACTGAAGGGCGCTATACTGAGAAAAAAAGGAAAGAATTACTCTATTGCACTGTTGTCTCGTGCTTTCATTGCTATGGGATGTAATTGCATTAGCTTCTGTACTGTTAGATTTCAAAAAGCTAGTTCATAAGCAGTAATAACATTTGTGGCAATCCGAGCTAAGTTAATGAAAAAGATAATCAAATCTAATGCTAAAGGGCATGATATCTGATATCTCTAGGGGGTCATGAAGAGATCACGCAGCTGACTCAGGGAAGGGAAGGAGGCATTTGTATGGGGGAGTGCAGAAGAGGAAAGAGACAGCAGAAAACTGAGGGTCACCTTGTTCAGAAGAGCTGTGAGCTGGTCTCTGATGGAGGCAGGAGGGTATGCACTAGACATATCACAAGGATGAAGATGCTTATCAAGCTAATGATATTTTTAGTAATGCCAATGGTGAGGTATAAGTTTCAGCTGATCCAGACATTTGTCTCTATGTGTTGACTGGGAAATTGGATTAAGTATTTTGTGTGTGCTTTTGCCTTGCCTGTAAACACTGAGTTGGTGGCTGATCACAGGTGTCATTTGAATAAGATTTTTTTGCTTGTTTGTTTGTAAACCTCAACTTCATGCTGGAACTCACTTCAGTGACTGATGCCAATGGAAAAATCTTTGCATGTCTAAGACAGTTCCCAGTGGCTGTGTTTTCCTGCTTGTAATTATGTTTGCAGCAAGTTGTCCACGCGGACACTCACTGCCACATTTTGTTGTGTCATTTGATGGTCTCAACAAAAGCATGAGCACTGACCAGTATCAGAAATAGTGCACACTTTCCTTCTATGTGTGCAACTAATGAAGTTCAGCAAGATAGGCATGACACAGTAATTCACTGATCAGTTATCCACTGATAATTTGAGCACTGTTATTGTCTTTTGCCTGTGTGAGATGGAAGAGCCTGTATTCACACAAGAATTCAGCAACAGTATTTTCCTAGCCTCATAATAATGCCCTAAAGCTCTCCAGAGCAGGATGATGAAAGGGATATGCTGAGATCACAGCAGTGATGGAAAGAAACAGATGTATCCAAAGGAGATGCAGAGCTGTGGAACTCAGAGCTCGTGTCCGGGTGCAGAAAAGTGTCTTTTCTCCCACTCAGTGCAGTTACAGCAGGATGGTGAAATAGCAGTCAGTCAGTCCCACTGCCCTCAGAAGCAGAGTCACAACAGCTTAGAACAGAGCTAATGCACCGCACTACCATGCACATGTATCCTTGCAGCCTATGAATAACATTTGCTCATAACACATGTTTACTTTGAAAAAAATAAAGGGCTATATTTGATACTTGAATACATTCATTTCTCCAGAACAACAACTAAGCACAGAATTCAGTAGGAAATATGTAAAAAAGAGTGTTTGGTCCAAAAGCTCTTTTATGAAGATCCGTATCTTTTAAGAATGTTAATAATGATTTCATGCACTAACATTTTGGTTCTTTGGTGTTTACAATATTTATTGAATTCTTCTGTCTCCTTTCTAAGCTTGTCAGAAAAGCTTAATTTGTAGGTGTAGGAGTATTTGCAGTGTTTCTCCCGACTATTTTGAAAATCACAAATAAAATATCCAGCTGCTAGGCTTTAGATCTTACCATAAAAAGGAAGAAATAATGGCAGTAAATTTGCTTGCACTTATCATGATAATAATCATGTAAAGCATGGATTGAAGAAAATCCAGCAGTGAGTTTAGAAAAACTGATTAAAATCTACTATATACAAATTGACTGTGTCCACCCACCACTCCCACAGTTCCTCAGATTATCACCATGTTTATATTTTAAGTGTCTGCAGCATGGAGTTATTGAAACTATATCAGATTTTAATAAAACAAGGTGTTGTGGGATTTCTGTGGGGCTGAAGTTCAAGTTAAGAGACTTGAATATATAACACCAAATACAGACTTTGTCTGAGTTAATACCAAATGGAATTTTATTTAGTTTTCTTCCTTTCTCTCCTTTACAAAAGAAAAATTAATATCTCATCACCTCTAAGAAAGCGAAAGTTATTCTGGAAGAGTGAGAGATTGCATGGTTCCCAGCACTGCAAAAAGAAGTAGTTATTTTAAACAATAGAATTCAACCTGCCTTATTGCTTCTCTCTCTCTTTCTGAATGGACCTGTCTCTGCAGGATGGATTCTCAGCTGCCAAGCATACAGGTGCTAATTTATATGTATGTGAATACTCAAGGTTAACAAGAATGTGTTCCCCATGGGAGAAATAGTCAGTGCCATTCAGATTACATTTCTCTTTCCCTCTCTGCCATAGAATGGGCTGTCAAAAAGGTGTCTGATGTAACTGTAGGCCTCTTTCTACTCACACAAACAATTTTGATATTTCCAGTTGGTAGTAGGTGATGTATTTCTTCCTTGACTAGATGGCCAGCAGGGAGAACAAATGAAATTAAATATCTAAATTAAGGAAATAGAGGATAAATTTAACTCTTTTTTTCCTACATGACTGTAGTTGTCCCTTGTATTCCTGTAAAGGATGAGTTTTTTAATTAATTACTATTTTACAGGAAATCAGGCATCAAGACCCAACCATATGACCCAGGTCATATCTGGACTGGAGACTGGAAAAGAAGACTAATAGCTCAGGTTTTCAAGTAGGTTGCCCTCATAACCAGAGGCAGATGCCTGTCTATCACCAGTTTTACTGGATTAGATTAGAAACATAAGCACAATTTTTCTTTATTTCATCTCCGATGGAATTACGCACTCATCTGGAGGGTTAGGGAGGGAGGTCACCCTAGGCAGGGCTTGCAGCACCTCTCAGAAAGGAACGCTGAGCATGAGGACATGTCTCTATAGACTGCTCTCACTTTTCCTGCATGGACTTATCCAAAATACAGTTTAACATACAGAGACTTCAAAGCTGGCCCTGTGCAATGTGAGATAAGCTTTGGCAGGGCTGATGCTTATCTGTCGCTAAAAGAGCTGGTAGGTGCTGGTAACTGTGTGCAGTCAGTTCCTGCACTCTGCTCTCCATTGCCACCTGACCTTTTATTATGCAGCATGGCCAGCAGTCCCAGATAAAGACTTTAATTCCATGCTGCTGTGTTGTTTCAGTTCCCAAACAGCTGACTGAGTTAAAAATGGGTTAGACATTGACCATTCTTGGATTAGACCAGGGTCCTATTGCTTTTTAATCTTTTGATAAGATAACTGAGTCACGGTTTTAAAACTCACCACAGCATAGATTTCCAGCCTTCAGATCATTCTTACTTTTATTCCCTGAATTCTTCTTTTTTTCTTTTTTTTTTTTTCCCCAGGCCACCCAGAATGAATACAGGATTCTGTGGACAATCTAATTCATACTTCATGCTGAAGTAATGCTACCACTTCACTTATCTTTTATATCAACCTGTTTACACACCGAGGGTGGCACTGCAAGCCTGTGTTTGCTTGGTGATACTCTGATTTCCTGGGAGCCGTGTAATATTACTAAGTATTCTGAGTTAAATATTGAAGAGATGTCATCAGTTTCTAAAAGTCACATTCCTGCTTGGCTCTTTCTCATACTTGTTGTTACAAGCAAGATTACTGGGATCACTGTAACTGAAAAAATAAGGGGAAGGAGCGTTTTGCCTCAGGCTAGGATTTTGAAAGATCTCATTTATTTTGCACGTCAGCATTTATGTGTTAGTACATGGTCAGTGCCTCTGCTAGTTGTTTGTAAGCAGTTTGTTACTTTTTTACTTCACAATAGCTAAATCTGGGCCTGCTTAACCACAGAACATCACAGAGCAGACTGTGGGGGCAGTGGCTGAAAAGCAGAAGTGAGACAGTCAAGGAGTGAACCTTGGGTCCACCCCTTTCTGCTCACACCCGTTCTGTGCTTTCCATTTCATCTTTTCTTTTTCAGAAGAGAAACTTGAACTTGGAAGTCTCCACATTTCTGTTGTCATGACATTATTTTCCTCCTTAACCCCAGTCTTCATAGCAATTATATGTGTTTTGATTGGGGTAATACTGAAGAAGACTAAAAGAGAGAAGGAAAGAGGTGACACTGGAAGTAAGCCCATACCTCGTCCATGGGTGGATGAAGATCTAAGAGATGGCACTGATCACCACTTAGTGGAAGAAGGTAAGAAAAATCTTTTACAAATGAGCAATTTTATTGCTTGAATTTGGTCTGCTAATATGAATAGAGATGCAAACTTCTGGACTTCTTCACTTTGATAGAAATGCATAGTGCTATGCTGCACTATGCTTGTCAACTTGATGGAACAAGGTTATTCTTATGTCCTGTCCCTCTTGGTGACGGACGGGTCAGGGTGCAAGAAGAAAATGTATTTTCGAAGTTTGTTGTATGCTCCATGATCAGCAGATCTCAGATCTAAGAGGGATTCTGTGGGAAATGTAGGAAAGAAAGTGGATATTGTTAAAATTTTTTCCTAGGATGGGGAACTCTGGAAGGAGAGAGAGCTTCTGTCTGTAGGCTGACTTGGTAGGCACCTCATCCTGCTTTACCTACATGAGCTGTGTGGCACAGTCTGTATTTGATCTCAACACCCCCAGAAAAAAAAAGAAATAATTTTGTTACAGTTATGAATGTCCGTAAGAATTCTAGCTGGTTTAGAGTGGGGATCGTTTTGGAGCTACGTTGAGTCATATTTTTAAGAACAGTAGTAGTAGTGATGACGCTGATCTCTGTTCACTCAACAGCATATTTGAAGCTGCAAATAGAATGCCTTTTCTTGCAGTAGTGGTTCCCAATTCTCATCTTGGATGAAAGTATGAGCGTAAGATATACCTTTCCTTCTTTTTTGCTTCTTCATTATCTTCCATAATCTCCTTTCATTTCTTCATGGTATAAAAATCTACGCAGTTCTGTTCCTATGAAGTTTTTAAACTTAAAATTAATACAGCTTATTCACTCATGCTGGTTTCAAAAGCTTTTTTTTTCTCTCTCTCATAATGACACATTAATGTAGTCATTTTCTTGGATTCCTGTATTTTATATTGTTTTCTGTACATACAACTATTTCTGAGAACCATTATTTCTCTGTTTCTCAATGTTCAGCATAGTTTGAGACAGTATTCTGTATCAGTTTCCAGAAATAGTTTATACTTGGAACCTTTTAAACCATGTTGACAACTTCCCAAATATACAACATTTACTTAAAAGTTAGTTCAAATGTCATGCGTTCCTTTCTACAATGCAAAAGAAATCCTATACAAAACTATCCTGTTTTTCCCTTTTCTAATGGCTTACCAGTTTAGTTAAACTATTGCAAATTAAAATTCCTGTGGGTAGTTCAAGTGAAAATTCTATGAGTTATCACTGTGACATCTATGACTACAGCTGTTTGTATCAGTTTAAAAATGTAGATCCCCTGAATAAACAAATCTATTAGCCCTTAATGAGGAGCTTCTCTGCTATAGCTCCATATACAAAATGTTGTTTTTTTTATTGTTAGCTTTTTCTATCTTTAATGCAGTTGCTAAATTCAAAATTGTACTAAGTTATAAAGTGCTTACAAAAATTCATAGGTAGGTACACCTCTATGCCACTGCTAAAAGGAGATTGTATGTAAAACCAATGTACCAGGCAATGCAACATTAAATTAGACTTTCTTGTTTTAACAAGAAGTAATCATCTTTCCCTTAATGCCATGTGATTTAAAGGCAAGATATTCGCAAAACAGACAGGTCTTTTATCTCCAGATAAAATAAAGTAATTGCACCATGCTTGGTGAAGGTTTTTCTCAGCAGGAAAAAGCCCAGACTAAGTGAGAAGAGCGTACGATCATCTCGGAAGGGATCTGTTATCCAGCTAATGCCATAATAAATGATCAAACATATTCACCGTGTTGTCAGTGTAAAAACTTTCACTGACCACAGCAGCTGCTAAAATGGAAAAATGGAGTGTAAACAGATTTTTTTTTCTGAACAGTGGAGAGTATTTTACCTGTCAAGCAAATTCCACTATTTCACTAATGTTTCTTTATTAGAAAAACTCACTTCTACTTAAATGTCTCAAGTTGGCTTGTGCTTAAAGAGGTAGCTCCTCTGGAGAGAATTTGAAGTAGACGAGATGAAGCATTTTTAAGTTGTTGTCTAAAACTGGAACCCAAGGCTGCTTTAAGTAAATAAGCTGAATTTTGTACAGCCTTCTAATGGGAAAATGCAGGTAAATACCAAATTTTCTGATACTTGGCCATGACCAAAGGGCACTTTATCAATGGAATGAAGAAGCCTAATACTGTGCAGCCCTTGTACATTTCTGAAACACTTCAAGGGGCAGGTTGCATGCTGCACCTTCTTAGAAGATCACTGAACTTGCTCAGGCATCACCAGCATTGTAAACCTTTGTTCAAGTGGCACCAGCAGGGGATGTTTCCTCTCAGGGGGCAAACTTTTGGGCACTGGAGCATGAGATATAATTAGCTGATCTGCTTGGACAGACTCAGTAGAGCCACTTAATGGAAGCGAATGGCAGAAGAGAGAGTCACAGGTGCTCCCAAGCCTGTCTTTGTTATGCTTTCAGCTACTGAAGAGAAAGATATTTCTCAGAGCAGCCAGCAACACAGTTCCTTGGTTAAGCAGCAAGCATTCAGTCAGTAGGTTATTAGTTGGAAGTACTTCAGGTTTGTTTGCATGTCCATATATTCTGTATCTTCTTTCTTCGTTTATGAGATCCAGAATGAAGGACAGTCATGCTGTGGATTGGTACAAAGGGTCTGTATGTGTGGCTGTATCTTGTACTAGGTCTTGTCTAATCGCCAATTAGACATAGATTAAAAACACGTTTAAAAACATGTTTCTTCAGCCTTATCTTGATGCATGAGCCATGAGGGCTATCTCCTAGTGCAGGGCATTTGATTCTGAATGGTGGTACCGAGTCTCCCATGGCTTCAGTTTTACACAGTTGAATCTAGGTGTTTGCAAAGGCAACTTCTAGAAAATTATTCAGTCCAGGGAGTCCTTACCTAGTTAATTACTACAATACACCTGGCTCAAATCAGGAACAAACAAGTCACTTTCTTGGTCACATTATTCAGATCAATAACCTTGATGGATAAGGTAAATACAGAGCCAATTTACAGTGTTATGGAAGATCAGAATGAATTTTATTTGCAACCTTATTATTTTGAGGATCAGCTGCAGAGATTATTAGCAAAGGGATTTTATTTTTGTGTATTTAATTATTTGGGCTTTTCTTGGTAATGTTTGTAAGAAATATAAAGCAATGTGCAAAGGCTTAAATATCTCATCTCAGACTTCAGTGCTTATTGCTTATGATATTTCTTATAACTGACCTCTCCCACTACAGGTATATTTCGCCTCTCCCTGAGTTCAAAAGTTCCCCATATCTTTCAATAATAATACCATTGACATGAGTGAGACAGTAGAAATTTAGTTTTCCAATTTAATGACAGTTCATTCTTTATGTCATTTAAAAACACAAGACTTACACGAACATCACACTTCATTGTGTTTATCTCTCTGCTGCTACTCCAGTCTTTGTCATTAGCTGATTGAACTCAAAACCTGATCCAGTTTTCATCACTTGCTGGAATGTTATTCTAGAACCTCATGCCATAGGTTAAAAATTCTCCCCTGCCTGATTTCTAACCTCTGTCTATACCCACTTTTTATCGTTCCATCCTTTTTTGTTTGTTCCTAGCATACTTTTCCCAGGACAGGTCCATAACCCTCCTGTGGTTTATAAACAACAATCAAATTGCCTCACAGTTTTTCATTTACTAGATAAATCAGCATTTCTTCTCTATATGAAACAGTTCATTTCTCTGAAGAAGTTCAGAAGCCTTCTGTAACTGCATTATAGCGTGAGTTCACTTTCCCAATACCATGTTATTCTTTCTTCCTGTCTGTCTCTCCCATTTGATGCTTCTGTCGGTTAAGATCTTTGATCAATCCTTGGGGTTTCCAGGCTCACCTTGCTAACAACTATTTATATCCCACAAGTAAGGCACTCCATCTCCTTTAGCTTACCATTAGCAACACATTCAGTTCAGGATTGGATTCATTAATGGGATTCCTATAGTGGCAGATTATGTAGCAGTCTGCCATCAGTCTTGCAAAGAAGCACAGGGCACTTTAGAAATAAAAGCCCACAGCCTTTCTTTGTATGCATGTAATTACATTTTATGTATCATATCAGTTCATTGGAAAAGAGAACTGGAAGAGAAATTCTAAGTGTAGGAAGCAAAAATTTCTTAATATAAAATTTCTTAATGATATAAAATTGAGAGCCAGTAACACATAGAAATATCAGTGTGGGCAAGATAAGTGGCCAGCAAAAATTAAACAAGTTTTACTCACATGAGTTTAAAATATTAGAAACTCATAGCAAATGTGTTTCCTTCAAGCCAAGGCAAAATTTATTACATGATTTGTAGGCTGATTTTAAGTTTCAATGTGAAATTCTGAGAAGAACACAAACATCATTCTAAAATGCATCCAAAGGGCACGTCTATTATGAGATTTCACTTGGGATATCTAAGCCTGATGACTATCAACGATGTACAACAGAATAGAATTTATGGGAATATTGAGAATGTTTCTAACAAGATAGTTGAGTGACTAGCAGGATGTCTGTTGTACATCAAATGAAAGAATACACATGCAAATAAACATGACACTGGTAGTATTATATAATGTGACCTTACAAACAGGAATATGTCCAAACATAGCCATTAAAATATAGAGAGCATGCACCAAACAGATGGTATTGATAATGTTTTTAGCTTAGCATATGGATGACATTAACTGCTAAGAATGAATGGTAAACTCATGGCAGAAAGGAATAAATAATAGCTTATTTTATGTTTCAAAAAAATTTCTGGGTGAACTTTGATTTTGTGTGTCAGTTCTTTCACATCTAGGTTCTTCTCCTGCCTCAGCCATATTCTGATCTTAGTGCATTCCAGCACTTTTTTTTTTTTTTTTTTTTTTGCTTGCAACTCTAAATTAGATATTCTAAATCAGAAATGATGCTTCTCAAACATTCATTCTCACTAGTCATCTCACCCTCATCACGTGTTCAATATCTTTGAAAATATATGCCCTTTTTTTTTTTCCCCCTGCCGTGTTACTATGCTGAACCATCTTGGCCATGGATTAGCTGCTTTTCTTCTACTTAGAAGGAAAAAATTCCAGGAAAAAAAAACTCAAAAAATTTAACTTTACCATTGATAATACTGCAAGTTTTATACTTTCTAACTTGCTTAACTTCTATTCTTAGCTGCCTGTAAAACACTTACTTAATATTTTTATTCAGCCAGTTACATCTGAGATGAATTTTATACCTCTGATATGAAGCAGTGCCAAATGCCTCTGATTCCTGATCCCTGACTTTTTCAGTCTGAGTTGTTCAACTTATTTTTTCTCAATCTTTTATTTTCCCAAAATTAGAAACTTTCATTTCCTTAACTTGTCATGTAGACAATTAAATTGAATTAACTGATAATCTCAGTGCAGGGGCACTTTTTTTTTTTAAATCAAGTCCTACCCCCTCACTGAAACCAAAGCTAAGGTAGTCACTGCAGAATAAAAAGAACAGATGAAGGTATTCAATGCTTAATTTGGGAAGCCTTGTTTCTAGTATTACCTTAGTTTTTCCTCTTCAGCCTGTATTTAGGAAGATGTGCTTCCACCATGTACTTCATAGTTAACAACACAATCAAGGCAATATGACTCTTAAAGATGTGTCCTAATTCAAATGTGACTTTGGGAACTTCTTGTTTGTTTCACACCTTCCCAGAAGGCAATGCATCTCAAAAAGCTACCCTTGTTTTAAATATATCGCTTTTATATTTCTTTCTGATCTGCCACATCAATTCTGTTTATGTTTCCTGAATGTGTCCAAGTGGATACCAGCTATTGTTGCTTGATTCTTCTCTCCCTGTTTTGTCTTGTTTTAAATGAGATATGATTCTATGTCCCATACAGGCACTGACTGCTCTTCCAGTTTGCAGTCTTGACCTCTGCATTCAAATGTCCACAAGCAACATGCTCTTTGAATTAACTAAATCCTCTGATCAACTCTCTAACTACTCATCTATATAGATAATTTGATCTTTCTGTTCTTCGACATTCACAGCTTATCATTTACTCTACTTTCCTCTCCTCATGTTTCAAAATCGGGTATAGAGATTACACAAATTTCCTCCAGCATTAAACTCCTAGTTGACAAACCTCTTTTGTAAAGGTTTCAGTAGTTTATACTCTAGTTTCCATATCTCTGACCCAAAAGGATTTTTGATGATTTTGCAATAACAGTAGAAAAAGAGATGTTCAAGCAGGGCTTGGATAAGCTTAGGAGCCAAAGTTAGACTGTGAAGTTTCCACCACCAGGAATAAACAAACAAACAAATAAACAATAAATAGAAGGTACAGTGCATTGTATGTATGTTATTTCCTGTTTTCTGAACCTTGGCAAAATCTGATCATATGAAAGTAAATAATGAGAGCACATAGGAACTATTAGGGCTAACTTTTTATTGGACTATTTCTAAGTTATTACAGATAGACTAGAAGTATCCCATTCCTGTTTCTCAGTACACTCAACACTGTAAGCTTGGGAAATGAATAGGAATGGTCACTACAGCATATTGGTATAAGCATGAATAATATAGTTTGACTTGAAATTTTCACTGGGACACTAATCCAATGTATAATACTAATACAAATCTAATACTAATTCAGTATAGTTTTCTGGTCATATTTTTGCCTTATGATACACATGCACAACCTTAACTGATTTCAGAGTTTTTTATTATCATAAAGACAATATTTTTTTCCATTTAGAAACTCCTTATGTAAGTTCCTGTAGATAAAATTGCAATGTGTGTCAGTCTGTGTTACTTTTAATTCTCAGTTCAGCAAAGAGTATGTTGGTTACATCAGAAATACCTGCACACACAAGAAGTTTTTTGAGAAGCCAGCTGCAGGCAGCGATCCAGCTTTCAGGCCTGTAAGTCCTTCAAGAGGAGATTTGGGGATTTAAGATTCTCACAAACTAATTTTTACACCTGGTCTCCGCTTCCCATTGCCCTGTAGCCATGTTCTTGCAGGCTTGACTGAGCATGCCTAAGACAGCTGTGAAATGCTAAAAGGAGCAAACTTTCTGGGTGATTTATTTGTATGTAAAAAGAAACATATGTTATTGGGGGGTTCAGAATCACTGTTTAGATTCAACATGTGCAACTGGATATATTGCATTCCCTTGCACAAGCTGAGCCACGCTTGTGAATATTTCACTGGTATTTATAAAATTAACAAAAATCATCCTGGTCTCTAAGGCAACTACATACTACAAAAGCACAGAATTAGCTGCTGTTTGAATTTGCAATGGAGACTGCTATGATTTTGAAATAACAGCCTAATGACAACTAGAAAAGAACTGGAATATTTTTTCCTGACTCAGCCCTCTGTAGCAGATTGCTCAATACTATCGACTGGCAGAAATGCAAAATTTAAATGCTTTTAACTTCCATATTACAGAGGCAAAAAAATGCCACTGTTCATTCTAGGAACACAAAGGAGAAAAAGTAGATTTCAGAGAGAGCAGAAGATGTATTTTATGGTATTTCAAGTGAAATTAGGAATCATTCTGAGTTCTTAAATTAAAAACAAGAAACACAATACCCTGCACCCTACTTATCCTAAGTATAAATGCCTATTACCCATTTCCCCTTTTGCTGAAAGTCCCATGAAACCAAAGAACTTAACCACAAAGTCCAATTTGCACATAGCCTATGAAACATGAACATAGGAAGAAGCTGACATTCAGCTCTTCAGAGGAAATCTTACACATCTTGATAGTTAAGTTCTGTTCTTAGCTTCAGCAATTTGATTGATTTTTTCCTTATTAGACTGCTTGGGAATGCATATACGTGTTCAGATTCGCTTACTGAGAAAAGTGGGTTGAAAATCTGCCCACCTTTTCAGTGTTGTTTCAGCTTATAGTACACTTCTACAGGAATGCTCGCAGACTGTAGAGCTGAAGGATGTAACTTATTCCTGGATCACAGTTCTACAGCCAGTTTTCTTCTGCCTCTTGGTATTTAAACAGTTTTTATGTTAGCTGGAACTTGGGATCAGTGAGTTGTGTCAGCGGGAACCTCAGACTTTGGCTTTCCGATAGTGTAGAAGTGCAATGTATGTCAATACAGACCAAAGTGCATTATGACAGTAAATGTCAAAGATATCAGCATTCTCCAGCTAAAAAAAAAAAAACAAAAAAAACAAAAAAAAACCCTAACCACTTTTTTTTTCTTGCAGAGGTTGATGAAGAGTGGCAAGGACTTGATGAAAATGTTGCCCATGTGCCCTTCATTGCAGAGCGTTACTCTGAGGCTGAAATGATTAAAAGGTCACGGTCATTTTACGAGCTTCTTCATAAGAGGCGGTCTGTCAGGTTTCTCAGTGATGAGCCAGTCCCCAGGGAGGTTATTGATAATGTCATCAGAACGGCAGGTAGGTACTGCGTTGTTCAAAGTCTGAAAAAAACCAACCTTCAGTGTGGCTGTTCCACTGCGTAAAAGTGATATGAAGAATCCAAGGGAATTGGCACTTGGATTATAGTCTTCCTAGACTCATCTAAAGCCATAACGAGTTGACTCATTGACTGCTTGGAAATTAATCAGCTTCAATGACTGTATGTTAGGGATATGTTTGGAGCACTTCTTTTATAGTTTTAATGCACCTTAAAGGAGAAAAAGATTAAAAGTGTGAAAAAAAACTTCATTACTTTTGAAGGTATTTTTAAATAAAATTTAAATATATTTCAGTGAAATATCTTTCAGATAGGAATACTGAAGTGTTTTCTCTCAAAAAATGTCAAACCATGTGTACTTCATGTGCTTTCTAATTTCCTCATGTTATTTAACACATACATTTTTTGGTTGTTGTTTTTCCTCAGACAAATTTATGATCTTGTCTCAGATGTGAGAAACATTTCAGATAACATAAATGGTTAAGATTTATTTTTTTGTAAAAAAAGTTTCCCTTAAAGAGCAAAAATAAAACTTTTCCAGTCTTTCCAGTATCAGTGCCATGGTCCTGTTGCATGACTGGGATGTATGCAGAGGACCTTGATCATGGTTTGGCTGATGATCAGATATGAATTTTCATTTTTTGGAGAACTCATGTGTTTCAAATCATCACTGTAATGTCCTCATCTAATCTCATCTCTGCTTTAGTAACACTGACTTCAGGCAGTAATATGTCTAACACTCATTATTTATCTTAATTCTGTGAACTTGCCACTATATTGTTAGTACAGAACAATATTCATAAGCTACCTTAGAGGAAAGTTCAATAGACCTTAATGGGATTATTAATAAGGAGATTCTTAGCATTTGAGGTGCATTGTTTTCTCTTTAAAACTGTAATCAGCTTTGTTACTGCACTGTAACGAGACTCCATCTTCTTCTAATTAGCTGGGAGTCATTAGAACACTGAACATGTTTTAGCAAATGCAGCAAAGTGAACAAGCCTGGAGTACAGATGAAGTACTTTGTAACCCTGAAAGCTTTGGGCTGTGCAGAGGAAATGAAAACAATGCAAAACACAAATGTCATCAGTTCTTATCCAAACCTGAGGGAGAGATGAGGTTCTTGATACAAACACATTTTAATATAAAAGATAAATAGTTCAAGCTGCTTCTTATTCAGTGTTTCTCAAGCTGAATTCAGTGCTCACATGAGCAAATGTAGCAAGCATCTAAGAATTTCAAATATTTTTTAAGTGTTTATGTGGAGCTAGAGAGATGTGAACAGTGTTCTTTACCCTATTTCTCTGTGAGCTTGCACAGACAACTATATCCTTCAGCTACTGGCTTTCATCTGCTACGCATTTAAAATATTCTCCAGTAGTGACAACATGTAATGATCAGGGCTGAATGAGCAAGTGGAGACTGAATACGTACATAGACCAGCTGTCTTTGGGACAACAAATGCAAACCTGTATGGTATATGGCAGGTGTCTGCATTGTGCAGTTCCTCTTATTTGTCAGCTAGTGACAGATTCCTGCGGGTGGTTAGACTTCTTTCCTTGAAAGCTATTAGCTTTGCCCTTCAGCTAAAACCATTTCTGAATTTGTTGCATATTCAGATGATGTGCTGCTTTGGGCGTAATAATTTGCATTAACATTACTGCATGCATATATTGCATCACAATATTGCCTTATCATAAAGAACCACAAATGAATTTTTACAAATCCTTGACTTTTCCTAACTGTTAAATGGCAATTTGAAAAGAGTAACCTCAGTCACTGGATGGAATTTTACACTTACAAATGCAGAGGTTGTGTGCTAGAACATATCTCTGCCCTTTTCTCCCAATTCATCAGCTTTCTTTCCCATTGCTCTGATGATCATTTGAAAGCCCAGAGGGAAGAGCTTATACCTCTCACTGCACCCTCTTTCCCAGAATTCTGCTAGCTGCCTCTTCATCTTTTCCCATTCTTATACTAAGGTACTTCACCCAGTGGAGCGCACACTGAGCCCTGGACGTTTGTGGTGGTGCAAGATCCAGATTTAAAACATAAGATTCGGGAGATTGTAGAAGAAGAAGAAGAAATAAACTACAAAAAAAGGATGGGAGATAGATGGGTCAATGACCTGAAGAGATTAAGGTATGAAAAGATGACTTAGTTAAGAGTGTTGGAGGGAGATGTGTTTTGGTCTAGGAAAAACTATACTGAGAGTTTTGTCCATGCTTTTCTTTTTGTATTTTGGCATTTATTTTCAGTAAGAAAAAACAAATATGAAAATATTTTTTTAAACCTTTTTTTAAAGACTTTCTTTCAAATCCCTGTTCCTCAAGCTTCCCCCATTTTCTGGTGCTGCACAGAAGGGCAACTGTAAACATTTCCCACTTCCTGATGGCAGAGAAAGAACAAAGATAAGGTCAGAGGCTGTCCCAGCCAGTGATCTATACTGTGATCCCTCTGATGATTTTCAGCTGGGCTTCTTCCCAAACTCCTGTCTGAGGAAAGTTGAAGCTCCCTTCCCCCAGCAGGAGTTGCGCTTATTTTTTTTTTAGTGTTAATTCTGGCTACACATTATGACTCTGTGCTTCAATGTTACCAGAAAAAGGATGAAATAAGTGATTTGAATGTTCAGCATACCCTTCCTTGTTGTTTGCCTTTGTCTTGATTTTCAGGATAACAAAAATCTTATTGAAAGCATCATAGTCTAGAAAATTAAAATGATAAAAGAATCCTATCACGATTTCTTCTAGTATACTTTTCCTTCCTCCTCTGTTTTTAGATATTTCTAAGATATAAGATTGGCAATAAAAACCTAAAAATATGCGTAGCTCCTTGGTGGCTGATCCATAAAATTCCCTTGAGTAAAAGTGATGACACATTCTCCATCTTGAGACTTTTCCAAGCATTTGACTTTGTCATTTTTATTTTTCTATATAATCTCTATTGCCAGAAATTTTTCCCATTTTTTCCTGTTATTTGCCAAGGCATGAAGCCCCCATAGTTAGTAGGAATTTTGCATTTGGCTGTTGTAGTCCAAAGGCTAGACTTTATGCAAGTGTTGAATTTTGCAATATGTAATTTTTTGAAATGCCCTACAAAGTCTATCTGGCTTGATTAACTCTACACGATGGGAAGACATATAGTGAGTCTTGGCTTGTCAAATGAAGCATATGCACAAGCTTTATAGTGTTAATTTGTTCTCTTTCTTTCAGAAAACTATTATTTTTCAGGTGCTTATATGTTATGTAAACTACTAAAATGAAGTACTCTTTATGCTTTGAATGAGAGCAGTACAAAATAAACTTTAAAAGAAAAAAAAAACCAACCTAAATCTGACATCATTTCTGTATGTATTCCCACTGTGACAAATTGGGAACCAAATAAATTCTAATAGGGCTGAAATATCCAGCAATAGGATGGCAACATTTGTTGTTACATTCAGGTTTATACTTTAGACCAAACAGTTCCGATCTTTTCTTGTAGCAGTTTTCCCTACAATCATAATAATGTTGGCATTGATGACAACAGGTAGAGCTGGAGGTCTGCAAAATTTTGGGAATTAAACCATCTTAAGGACAAATGCTTATGAGGCCAGTTCATAGATAAGACGTCAAGACCTAGCTCCTATTTTTTGCCATTCTACTTTTCAGTTCTTCAGCTGAATGTGTTAAACCTCAGAACTCTATTCAGGCATTTTGCAGAAATGTTTCTGTTTAAGCTGATAATACTTAATCCTCTACAGAATATGTTTTAAGTTTTAGCCTACTGCTATAACTGTCATGTATCTTTACTGGACCTTTGCAGATAGCAAATGTGACTGACAGGAAAGTGAAAGAGTTGCAAAATAAATGTCTTAAATATTCTTTTGCAGAACAAACTGGATCAAAGAATACTTGGACACTGCCCCCTATCTCATCCTTATTTTCAAGCAGGTGTATGGAAGGCTTCCAAATGGCAAAAAGAAGACCCACTACTACAATGAAATCAGTGTATCTATTGCCTGTGGTATGCTGCTTGCTGCCCTGCAGGTATGTTGACAGAATTGGCACACTGAGAAGTCACTGTATCGGTTTCAATTACATATCAAAAGTGTTCTGCCAAAATAAGGGTGGAACCCAATTCAGATTTTAACATTCAGTCCTCCAGACTGTCCAAATCCTGGCAGTACATCTTAATTTTGAGTTTTAAAGTTACTCTGCATAGGCCCTTGTCTGTGCTGATTCCTATTGTCAGTACTGCTCAAGAAGAAGAAAAATGCAATGCAACTCACTTTTAGAGTTGTCGCTGTCCTCTTATCACAGGCTTTAGCATCTGTGGTTTCTGCCTTATGTAGTTTCTGCTTTATGTTAACAGGAATGACAAAGGTCTGTAGGTTACCAAAGTATGGCTGTACAGCACCACATTTTCAGTAACCTCTAAAAAATGACTTGACCCTCAATCGATTTAGTTCACAATGCTGGAAAAAAATATCAGGGACATATTTTACCGAACAGACTGTACTATTTCAATCAGTCTTTCTGAGATATTTCTGAAAATGTACTGATTTCTAAAGCTCAGCATGCTTGACACCAACCAGTTGGATTTTCTCTGTGGTTTCTCAGCGCTCAATTCTGCTTGATGTATCTGATGTACTCACACAAGTACTTAAATAATGAAGATATTCTGATTGTTAGCTTGGACTGTCAGCAGGATAACTGCAAGCTGACACCTCTTATATTAGGCCAGTTCCCTACTGGGAACTGCCATTTCTCCTCCATTCTGTTTTGAGTGATGTTTCCCTGCCTGAATTGCTGTTCCTTAGGAGAATCTTCAGGATGGGATGTCAGAGAAGAGGGCGATACAGATGCACATCACTGGGGGTATTGCTATTCTGCAGCTGCACGGGAGTGTCTATTTTCTCCCCATAGAGCTGACAGCAAAGGGGATGCACAAGGAATAGAGCAGAACAAGCGCTATGTCACAGGAGCCTAAATTAGTAGATGTAGGAGTGACAAAACTCCACTTTCTGCCAGCTCACCATCAGGTGGGACTTCTGAAACTCCCTACCCACTGTTAGGCTCCTTAGTGCTATCTCTTCCCCAGCTCTTAGAAGTTAATTGACAACACTAAATGGCACAGTGCCATGGACTACTGTTAGCTTTTCTCCTCTTTAGAAGATCATAGAATATGAGAGTCACTTTGCCTGAGCATATCTTAGTGTCTGCCTTTTGTATCTCAAAGCCAACCAACATGCTTTGCATTACATGCAGGAAGAGATTGAAATGCACGTGCGCAATGTTCAAGAAGCACCTCAGCTGTGTGGTAATGATTTTTGGATGGTGTCAGCTCCTTCTTATTTGTCAGATCTTTTTTTTTTTTTTTTTTTTTTTTTTTTTTTTTTTTGTGAGATTTCATATGAGGGCAGAGTGATGCACAAACTTATTTTTGGTTTCTGATGCAAGCCAGAATGTTTATCACAGACTCCTATGACAAGTTCTGAGGCAGAGTCTGTGTCTCCTATCCCTGTGAGGTACAGAACTTGAGCAGGAACAAACATTCGGAAAGCTGTAAGACATCTTCCTGCCAACAATCTGAGTTTAAGAACCAAAACATTTCTCTGGGGTGATATTCCACAAGTGAAATCTCCACAAGTGCCTTTCATCTTCACTGTAGCTGCAGGTTCCCTATCGTGATGTACACCACAGGCAGACTCCTGCTATACAAAGTACAGGTATGTTAGAGAAAAGAGCTATTTCCATTAGCTTGGGCTGTTGCTGCAGTGGAAAAATGCTTGTTTGTTGCTGTTTTTTGTTGTTGTTGTTGTTGTTTTCCTGGAGGCATCTTTCATGGCACTGCTGAGGCAATAAGTAAATCGGATATTCTAAAGCCTGCAGAAGAGCGTAATAAAGCAGTATTTCTGGGCTAGTCAGTATGAGAATATGTGCAGGTCTCAGGAGAATAATGATTACAAAGGCACCCAGCACAGACCTTTGTTTCACTCTGCTCCTGTCTCCTTGCAGAATGCCGGTCTGTACACGGTGACCACCACACCCCTGAACTGTGGTCCCCAGCTGCGGGCGCTGCTCCAGCGCCCAGCCAATGAGAAGTTGCTCTTGCTGCTCCCTGTGGGCTATCCCAAGAAAGATGCCACTGTGCCTGCACTGACTCGAAAGCCATTAGAAGACATCATGGTGGTCATGTGAACCCAGGGCCATGAAGAGAGAGCACAACTTACTGCCTGCTAGGAAGCAGCAGCCCATTGAAGTTGTTGATGCTTTTCCTGTGTATTACGCCCAGCTTTAATGCTCACATATTACTGCTGCTCTGGCTGTTTACACTCATGCACCTTTTAGTGCTAGTAACCACGGTGCCTGCTTCTACTAACAGCAGCAAGTAGTCATGCATGGTGCATTTAACAGGTACTATTACCAATGAACCTGAGCAGTTGTTCCAAGAGACAAGTACAGTAACATTCAAATGACCTTCATCACTTGATTTTTCTTATGTATTGTAGGGACTGATCTTTCCTTGAACAATAACACATATTTTCCTTATGCTTTTGTGATTACCACTGAACAGTTGTTTTTACTTCATAACTTTAATGGAGGTTGTATGTCGCAGAATCATAGTACCATTAAGAGTGGAAAAGACCTCCAAGGTTATCTAGTCTAATTGTACACCTACCCCAGATATTTCCCCATTAACCGTGTCCCTCAGTACAACATCTAAACATCTGACAGAATCACAGAATAGCCAAGTTTGGAAGGGACCCTCAAGGATCATGAATCTCCAACTCCCCTGCCACATGCAGGGCCACCAACCTCCACATTCAATACTAGACCAGGCTGCCCAGGGCCCCATCCACCCTGGCCTTGAACACCTCCAGGGACAGGGGACAGGGCATCCACAACCTCTCTGGGCTGCCTGTTCCAGTGCCTGACTACTCCTGGACCTGAACCTCTCCTGGCACAGGCACTGAATAAACTGCCCCATAGTAAAATAAAATAAAATAAAATAAAAAGATTCTTGTGATGGCATCAGCTTCCTAGCCACTTATTTATGAGATAGGTTTCCCTCATTCTCTCAGTATCCCTTGCTTGCCATTGAAGGGCTAGTGGAAAATACCACCTGTACTCCTGTTGCATCAACTAACTGCCCTAATGCCCTGAAGTCCCTTTTGATAGCCTTCAAACTTCTCTCAGCAACTTTATAACTTCCAGCCTGAACTACAACTAAAGGTTAATAATCAGAGGGTTGAACTGGACCATGAAGTTTTTTAGTAGTGCCTCTGCCCTGGGCCCCAGGAAGGCAGCACACTTTGCTATGGATAAGGGGCCCTCTGCTCCTCTCAGGAGGGAGTAGCCTAACTACAGTTACCCTTCTTTCCTTCTTGGAAGAAGCCATTCTGAGACATGGAGATGACTGCCTCACTCTAGACAACCTCCTTGGTGGGTCTCCCACCACATTCTCACTCACTTTTCCTTCAAATTCCAGAGCCTCAAACCTGTTGTGTAGTTTCTCAAACCTGGGAAACGAGGTAGGTAGGCATGGGATTTGCCTGCAACACTGAGCTGAGACCTGTTTCCATTCCTTCTCATCTCTTAGGTCCACCCCTTTTGCCTGACAGCAACAGAAGGATCCACCACTGTTTGAGGGGTATCACCCCAGTTCCTTTCTCACATGTATAGCAGGGAGTCAGTCCACCAGCCTATGTCCTGCTGACACTCCTTGATGCTCTTTAATTTCTCCACTTCTCCCTTGAGCTCTGCCACCGTCCTGAGCACATCACCCACTTGCCCGCATCTCACGCAGGCAGAATGTTTGCCGCCCTCCACCGGCAGCAACAAGCTCAAGCACTGCCTTCAATCAGAGAACAGAAATCCCACATTCTTTTTGGCAAGAGCTTTTTGTCTAGTGAAGTCCATGGCCAAATTTGTAGTTTGGGAGGCAGCCGACCATCCCTGCACATACTGCCAGTTGCACTCCGATGGGACCGCCAGTGTATGCCGGGGGGTTTGCCTGCTGTCACTCCGCCCACCGCATCAGCGGGTCCTCTCCTTAAGCGCCCCGTCCCCTTTACCGTGATCGGATTTGTACTGGAGGAAGGCGTATTTCCCATGTACTTTTCTCTGCTTAGTGGTAGCAGTAGTGAGATAGTGTTAAGCTGTCCCAGCTTAACACTGCAACTTTTACAGGCTCTCACACGTGAAAGGTGCTTTCCCATCACACCAAACAAGGCGTATTTCAGTCTGTTTAAAGGCCGTTTCTCCCCCCAGCAGCGTTGCCTGTCGAGGGTCCCAAACCTGGAGGCAGTTTTGGAGAAGCGCCATTCGAGGGTCTCACAGCTGGTGTCGCCAGTGCCTGTGCAGGCAGCGCCCCCTGGCGGCGCTCCGAATTGTGGTGGAGGCGGCTCCTGAGCCCGCAGCCTGGCATGCGAGCAGTCCAGGTGCAAGAAGTGCTGCTAGCTAAGCAAGTGGAGGTGATATTTACAGACGTACCACTCTTGGTGGTATCAGTGTCTCTCTTTCACTGTCGCGAAAAACGGTTTTCCTCTTTGGCAGACTGTTTAGCTGGCTTCACAGCTGTGTATTCAGCTATTTTACTGGTCCCATTTCCCAAAGTGTTGCACATGTTTTTGGTAGCATGGTCCCAGCCTGAAATGAACTTTTACAACCACAGTAACATCAAAATTCTTCAAACTTCCTGCATTTTCAGCCCAAATTCAATTGATTTTGACAAAACTAGAATTTGAAGTAAAAAATTGTAAAACAAACAAAAGAACAACCCTACAATTTGGATTTGAATTGCTTCCTTATAGAAGCTGGCCTCACCGAGTCTAAAAGCTGGTCAAGGACACCGCAATGTCACTGGTGAGCAGAGGTAAGTCCAGGCAGATTGGCTGCAGGTTCCCAGGTATAAGGAACACACATTACAGTTGGTATAACAACTCATCCTTCTGTACAAAAGCACCTCTGCCCTATCAGGCCCCCTCAAAAAGCACTTTTCATCTGCTACAAAAGTAAATATGCCCTATTTTTTCTTTTTAATTCAGAGCTCACGTTGATACTGAGCTGAACCTTTGTCACTCTACGTTATCTTCTATAGCTTAGAAATAAAGTGCTTCTGCCTGGCCCAATTTGCAAAAGAGATTGTATTTGAGTGTATTTATTCCACAAGAGTTCTCAGAGAATTTTCATCAGGTTAGTTCAGTTTAAACCAATACGAGCTTGCATACCTAAGTCATTTTGTTGCATATGTAAGACTATTGTATTATGGCTTTTTAATTAAGACACGAAGAACCAAGCCACATTAAAGTATGCCCATTATTGTCATGGTAATAAATACTGCTAAAACAACATACCTATGTATACTGAGAAAGATACTTTATTTTGTTTTGTTCTGTTTGTTTGTTTGTTTGTTTGTTTTCTTCCATAAGTTGATGATGGAAACTGATAGACACATAGTGGCTGAAGAAAACAAACTTACACGCTGTAGCAGAAATGCTAAGTCGGCCTGAAACAGTGATTGAGCACCTGGTGGGAGGGCAGGGCTAACTCTGGGGAACTCAGGTGCATACAGTGGCTCCATCTCTTCCCAGATCTCATTTAAGGGTTGACAGTGGAGGTAAGGGTATTTTGCTTGAGATCCCTGTCTACCCTGGGCCTTTCAACTGTAAGCAGATTTTTTTTTTCCCCCATTGTTTCTCTGTCCATGGTTCCTGTGTTTGAGCACATCCTCGCTTGCTGTAGCCTAGGACTTTGCTGTTTAGCTATCGTTACTGTGTTTTCCATCATGTTACAGCATTGCACGTGTCTGCTGCATGAGGAAGATTCTACCCCAGCAAAGCACTTCTGATGTAATGATAAATATGTGTAAAAAAAAGTCTTTTTCATAGAAAAGTCTATTCAAATGCAAGTATCCCAGCAGCATTATACCTGCTGATGATAATGATGATGTAGAGTCTCTTCCAAATTATGCAGCTGCTGCTGTTCTGTAAGCCTACTTGGCATGATTTTACTCTAGGCTGCAGCATTTTGAACTTTTAAACAAGTAGATGTGAAGACAGTATGTAGCTAATTCACTTTTTAAATTGCTATGTAGATCTTTACAGAGTCCTGAAAAATCAATCTTTTGGAAGTGGAAGTGTCTGGGCACTCCAAGGCAAGACACATGATACCTCAGTGCTAGGTACTAATATGACATGCATTTATGGCACTAGTCCCTTGCTCTCTGCAAAATGCTTGTAAGAAATAAAATGTAAAAGCTAATTCTGACAGCATTTACAAATGCTGAGAACATTTATTCCAGAAGGGCTGAGGCTTGATTTCATGTTGCTGTTACCAATCAGTTCTCCATAGACTTCATTAGGAAGAGATTGGCTACTGTATGGTTTTTGAAGTTTTCCACCCACCTGAGCTTAGTCATCTGCTCAACTTTTGCAGAACAGAGACTGTCATTGATGACACATAACTCTCATGGCATTTTGCTGTTTCTTTGGTTAACATGACCTGTCTATTTCCATCCAAGTGATCACTAACCTGTTTATTGAGCCTTTGCCCCCTATAAATGAGACTTCTTTGTGTTTGTGGAGTGTAAATGATAAAGAGAACACTTACATGAAACCAGTCCTTTAAAATATAAGTTGGAAGAGAGTAGCTGAAACTTAAATCATCATAGCAGTAAGTTACCAGCTAAAAAAATTGCATTCAGTTGTGGTGCAGGCATGGGGGAATATACTTTTAAGCTTGGCTACCAAGCTGGGGCTGCATTGAATGTGTTGTGGTAGAAACACAGACAACAAAGGTAGTCCAAGATGCAGATAACAAAACCTAAGTCACAGAAAGCAACACAGATCATCAAGACAGGCAATGACCAGGGCCTTAAGAAGTGGTTACCAAGTCTTTTGTCTCATAGCAGCATATGAGGAAATATTTGAGGGTTTTTCTAAGAGAAATATGAAGTACTTGAAGTTACTTAGGAGAGGCTGCCCAGAGATTAAGTTCTTCTCTTTGATCTGAGGGTAAGATGACCACAAAGGTCATTAGTGACTCAGCTTAGAAGAGTCAGACAAAACTCACACAATTCTGAGCTAGAAAGTGACTGTATTGGTTAAGTTGTCCTGAGAAACATTTCTTGAGAAACACTCTCCGTATGGAAGGAGTAACTTTAAAAAGGTTGCACTGCCTTCCAGCAACATTTGGTAAAACAGTGTTTTACATTTGGAAAAAAAAAAAAAAAAAAAAAAAAAAAAAAAAAAAAAGACAAGCAGAAAGTAGTAGCCAATGCTTAAATATCCACACTAAAGGGTGAAAGCAGAGAAGAAAAAGAGCATCCCCACGTTGTCATAGTTCTTTGGGTTCTGGATTCGCTGTTCTGTTTGTTCCTGTTCATGAGTTGCAATGCGATAAATTTAAAGCTGAGAATATGAGATGCTTGTATGACTACTGAAATATCTGTATGAATCCTGGAATTGCATTTAAAGGGTACTATTGAGTAATGACTCAGATGTTGTCCAGCAGGATGACTATGGCTCCAGTCCTGTTGTGTATGGTGC